GGCAGCACTCCAATTGGAAACGGCGCACCCCGAGGCGAGGATTACCTGCGTCGTGAAAGGCTCTCTTCATGTCATCACTACGTAAACGGGCGTCTTATGATGGTACGCGCTTTAGAAGTGGATTTCTGCTTTGTAGATAGGCATCATTAGCGGGCCCGCGGGAAAAGATTCTGGGCTAGCTCCTAGCAACTTCACTGCGGGTCCCTTTCAAAATGTATAGTTCAAGCCCGTAAATTCTATACAGATACCTTATTCTTCCTCTAAAGGGTACAATCTGTCTGTGTAGCAAATGAAACTCCCCCGTTAGTTAAGATTCCTGCGTCAGCAAAAGATGACGTCACAAATGGAACTTCCCCTGTCCTGGAATTCCCTGACTTGGCAAAACATTACGTCACTTGGTTACGCCCCGTCCACGTGCAAGCAAATCAGAACCCAAATTAACCCTTTCGGCCTTATCTATGTAAATTAGTTTCATGTCTTAAGACGAAACCCGGACCGCCTGGTCAGTCTGGAGCCACAATTCTGAGGTTGGACACCGCGGTCCGGAGGTCATCTGCACGAGGGCGGCGACACAGCGACAGTTAGCTTAATTTTGGTATCGTCTACTTTAGTGGTTACCGCCCCGGTAACTCGCGCCCTCAGCCGTACCGGTGAGTGTCTTTGCCCTAGCCTTGTATTCCCGTAGTATAAATTGCCCCCCTTTTGGAAACTGTTACTGCCTTAAATTGTCCCATTGCAAACTTGTATGGTTATATATATTGATGTACTTCCTTGTAAAGTGACCTGCGACGAATAAACAGAGTTGAAGCGAGAATCGTACCCTGGCTTGGTGTGGTGTGGTGAATCCTGATTATTTAAGAGCCCAGATCCTACCGCTAGACATATGTGACAAATGGTTCCCACACCGGGAATCGAACCCGGGCCTTGGCGGTGAGAGCGCCAAATCCTAACCACTAGTTGTAAGTCTAGTTTGCAACATGTTTCTTTTACTCGCATGATAGTAACTTTTACTGCTGGCTGCTAGGATGGCTGAACAATAGATAACTTTGTCAGAAAGACTGGTTGTAGCAACTCAGTTGCCACAATGCCATAGCCATGCACAATCACCCATGTATTGCAGAGAGCGGGAAAATATGACGTCATGCCATGTCATAATACGAATGCTTCTGATAGGCTGTCGCATGCCCTAACGTTGCCACCCCACATTCCTCCGCTTTGTGACAGAGAACACAGCATATCAAGGGGACTAACTACTGTGTCCACTCTGTGAGCTTTATGTCTTATGCCTTGGGTAGCGGCTGCCATCATGACCCACAGACCGTCACTGAAAGCTATGTTTTCCTATCACACCCAAACCACTGAGATCTAGACTCTATCCAAGCTGACACCGTGATTCAATACTGCCACGCTACACAGGAAAGTCTAGAAGAGTAACGTTTTAATTTTGAGACCTTCCTTCGTGACCTACTTGCGACATGTGCGTCCACATAGAAACCCGCTCGTGTGCATTCAGCACACCAGCTGGGATGACTTTGAGTTCTATCAACCTGAATGACGTTTTCTTCACTGTTGAAACGAACGATCATATTTCAATCTTTGTTATCGATTGGCGGGACTAGATACGTGCCTGACTGATAGTGCCCTGTACGTCCTGACGCCGTGCCGAAAGTTTCAACCCCGGCGGTTAACTGCCCAATAAGATAATTACTGATCCGAAAAGCAGACTGCTCGTTGCAGCGCTGATCCGATAATGGTGTCAATGTCTCGTGCGCGTCTCCCGGGGCCGGGCTGCCGGAAATCCAGCCACATGTCACGGCGTGTGCCGTAATGAGCCGCTACGATGTGGGGAGCTTAATCAATGACTTTGGGATATCGTCCATCTATCTCGACAGGGAAAGGTGAACGGGGGGTTAACAGAGCCTTTTGTTCTGTGCTCGTTCAATAACATGTTGACATTCATGCTTGAAAATGGGCATGAAATAAACCTTCAAAATGAGAAGAACCAAAGGTCGTACAGAAGTGGTCACGAACCCAGCTGTAGTCGTCCGATTGGGATCACTTTTAAGACTTAATCATCACAAAAAGGGATGCGTTTGTATGACGTCTATCAGCTGAAGCGGCCTCATCCACTCATCTACCTTGTACTTTTATTTACGATGTAATTTCAACGCAGTTTAATGACGTGTCAGACTCCTGCTCGTTTTCTTGAGATCCGGCATATCTAGTTGTATCAACATGCGAGCCGCGTGCCCTTTTCTTCCCTTCCAGTTGTAAGGATTTCCAGCGCGATCTGGCTAGGCGGGGCCGCGCCAGCCAGCCTGTCTGCCCGGAGATGTCTGCGAGGCGGTTGTGGGCCGATGACTAATTTGGCGGATTTGATGAGGTTTTGGTACATCATCGACTGGCAACAAGTAATCGACGCGCAGTGCCTTCCAGGCGAGACACCGGAATCAATAGGCACTGTAACAACCAAACCCCAGTCATCTGGGATAAAGATATGTACTGGCGGCGAGGAGGAGAGAAAACAAGAGGAGACGTGATGGGATATAACTGTCTTTTCTCTAGAAATGGAACGAAAATGTGTCAGGGTAGTTTGAACACAGGCACATGCGAAACGTTTTGTTCTGAGCTCCTATATAGTATCAAAATATCCTGGTCAGGATTTTGACAGCCTGAACCGTTCCGATTGTCATATTTTAGGCTGGCCAAACCGTTCACATATCTTAAATCCAGGCCAGAACTTTTTCACGAAACCACCCTCCTTCCAATGCAAGATCAATTCTGGCGTGTCCAAGTGCCACGATATTAGATATTAGCCACACCTAGAGATTTTTCCCAACCAAAGAACAATCGCTCAAACTGAGGAGTAATTCACAAGTGTTCCAAGAAAATAAGAATGCTTTTATTTAATTTAGGTGTCTTGTTATTTCTTGAAGATGAGACTTTTTGTATTTGTCAGCTAGCAGCATGGCGTCTGTATGCCGATGAGCGCTCCTGGACAGGACCTGTACCGTTAGCAGTCCTCACACGTACACGGCAAACTCCGGGCGCCACTGCCCTGATAGAGCTCAACGCGGAACATTGTATACGTGCTTTAGCACCGCTTCAATCGCAAGATAGGTCTGCTAACGTAAGTCACGGCCTGAATATTGTCTTAGTGCCGTTCAGCTCTACCGTTGCATGGCTCCAGAACAGGAAGGAAGCATCATAAAGTGTCATCGACCGAAAATAGATCTTCATTGCCATTTACCTAATCCCCGCCCGGTCGGCCCCTATCCCAGGGTTGCCGGAGGTCACGCCGCTCTTTAAATATTCCAGTTAACGTGCAAATCACGGTGCGGACCGGCGGCTCGAGCGCGGTTCTGGCGAGCTGCGGAGATGTAGACGTAAATAGTTCTGGCAGGAGTGGGTCGTGAAAGGCGGCGGGGTGTTTGCGCGCACATTATAACCCAAGGGCGGAGGGAATTGTGTCGTTTCCGTCCAACCCGTGTTCCCGCGCTGCGAGATAAACGCACAGTCATCCCGTACATTCTCCAGCGGGCAGGAGGGAGGTCGATAGCTGGGAGAATGATCACCCGACAACTCGACTGGCGGGAATCATGTGCCATTAGCCCGCTCAGCCGGTAGCCTGGACATAAAATTGGCATTAAAACGGCGTCTGCTGCGATTGTCGTGCTAAATCTAATCAATAAATGGTCTTGGATGTCTGTTGGCTCTCATGGCGTCAGATACCTAGTGTTACCTCTTTGCTCTCTTGTGAAATTAAAGGCAACCAACATTCTACATAGAGAAAATCACAATAAACCTCACAAATATACCGGTAACAGCTGCGTTTATACACAGGAGGACACTTCATATCGCCTAGCATACAACACTGTTTGACTTTCGCACACTGAGCGGTGCAATGAAGAGATCGATATGCAAATATCAATATATCCTTCCTTCGTCTGTTCAAAGATCTTCTGCTGATATATATGATACATGTACCGTCCTAATGAGTGAGATCCTGTCGGGACCAACCCAGTTGACGCTTCGAAATCGATTTTCCTTTTTTTTACACCTCCACCACCGCTGTGCCCGCTCTGTTCTCCTGTGTTAAATCCGTCTGTTCCGTTGCCCGTAAATCGGGCCGGTGTAGAACATAACCCTTTATTTCTAGTGGCCGTGCGCTCATCCGTGCCTGACAGGGGCTGCCACTAAAAGCTGGTGCCGCCAAATCATCGCAGTAATTTGCCCTGTGGTCCGGGGTGGGCTGACCTCTCACTGGAAAGGTTCGTTACCCCGGCGGTGCGAGCGGACATGAGAAAACGAGGAAGTCGTTATGTTCCTTTGACCTTCAGGTTTTAGCAGAAATGTTTCTCTCGGCTGGGGAGTCCCTGGGGTGACGTGTAACAGCGGCAGTGGTGGTGAGAGGGACATCAAACACACCAACAATTCAACAGTCATGGGCAGGGCTCGTAATGTAACCGTCAGGAAGCGAAGCCTGTTTTCTTTTTATGTAGGATGTTTAATTCCTGCACCACAGGGCAGTCTCAAATATAATGGAGTGGATAAAAGATGGATTTCACATACAGGGCACCATCGTGTCCACAACATTTTCACAGGCAGGCAGTGTTTCGGGTATCACTGATGACCTGATCGCTCCGATGGCTCGACCCAGAGAGCAACACTATCATTGTGCTGCACTGAGCATTTTCATAATCATAACATTCGGTTCACAGTTATAAGGTAACATGGACATGTGATCCAGGATCAAGCATTATTATCGTCGTCTGCTAAGTCGGGCTCAGATCTTCGGCTACGTAGCATTTGATGGTTTTCAAAGTCTTTTGCTACGGAAGGTGTTAAAAAAGATACAGTAAAAAGGATATTACTTAAATGTAAGACTTGACATACTGTCATACACCCTGGCTGTGAAAAGGTCACTTCAGTGTTGTTTGGGTTGGGAGTTATGGACGCTTGACTTGTATTTTCAACTAGCTCTCCGTTTTCCCTAACAGGTGTTCTGGTGGTGAACGTTACCTGGCGGAACAAGACGTATGTGGGAACCCTGCTGGACTGCAGCAAACATGACTGGGCTCCACCCAGGTGAGTTAGTCTTCATCAGCACCTGAGTTTTCGCGTCTTTAGTTGTCACTTATTTGGTACGAATGTCTTTCTGAGCTTTCACTGCTTGACTTTTTCGTTATAAAGCACACACAGATGCAACACAAACAAACCATAAATCCTATAGAAGAGTTCAATCTAGTTATTGATTGGCCGGTACCGAGGGCTTGGATAGCAATCATGGTGACGGGGTGGGAGAATGCCGCGTCGGTCTGGCTAGATAAGGTTCAGGCACAGGCAAGGATCCTGACCAAGTAGAGAAAATCCGGAAATCTAATTTCGTATCTCTAACGTTCTGGCCTTGGTGCTGAACTGACGTCCTTACCACGTGGGCGATCGGTAAATCCCGCGGAAGATGGTCAGTATGCTGGGGGAACGGCTGGTTATCATTCCGACCACGTACGCAATGTAACCATAGATTGCCTGTCACAAACTGCCTTTTACTCCTAAGTAGGATTTTCTCTTTATCACCAGCAGAGCGCTATAATCAAAGCGTTAAGGTATCTTGGCTACTTAAAATGTGATTAGTGTTACAGCGCTTCTAAACACCGAGTGGAGTGATGCCGGCCGGTTGTGGAATATATGTTCGTCTTTTGTAGACGATCAATCAGTTTAGAAGGTTATAACTTGCTGCTGAGAGTTACGTTATTTGATTGGCCCTATAATAAAACGAATTCGCCGCCGAGAAATTGAATATTCACAGATGATCCTTCCAATGAAACAGCGCACGAGAAAAGAATCACATCAAATCTTAAATGGATCTTCGTAAGCTACGCTCTGTACGAAACTAATATGTAATCATTTGAACGTCCTGGCAATTAAGTGAAATATACAGCAATGCGTTTCGGTAGACCAAATATTAATGCAATAATGATGATCCTTAAACCAAATCCATGCCCGGGGGCTAATTGGAAGTGACAAGATAATAGCGTACCTTAACAGACAGTGAAGACAGCACAAGGTGTCTAATCTACTGTAAGACTCTGCATGTATATGCGTCATTGTTGCAGACAAATGTTCTCAAAATTTCTTTCCTCCCATGTCACAATTTTACTTAGTTACTTCCCCAGTTTTGCATACTGAAATCTTTCTTGTTTCCCCAGGTTTAGCGAGTCTCCCACGAGCGATATCGAATCCAAGCCGCCGCCGCCCCCTCCGGCCAAGACCAGCCGTGGGAAACGTGCCCGTAACAACAACACGTCCGGCGAGGACATGAGCAACTTCACCGAGACCCGCTCCTCCATCCACAGCAAGCTGCGCAACAACAACGGGAACGGGAGCAACGGCACGGGGAAGACTGGGCGGAAGGGGAGCAACAAAACCCCCACCAAGGACGACGACGGGAAGCCTGACACGCCGCCGGGTACCAAACGTAAGGCCAAGTCGTCTACTGACGGGGAGTCGGTCTCAAGCACGGACGAAGTCAAGCCTGCCAAGCGGATGAGGGCAAATTCAAGAAGTACCCCTACACCACAGAGCGAGGGGCCCGCACCAGCCCTGATAGAGTGTCCTCACGTGAACTGTAACAAAAAGTACAAACACATCAATGGCTTGAGATATCATCAGGCACATGCTCATCTGGAGGACACAAAGACGGCACCAGAAAACCGCAAAGAAAACAGTACAACTGCTGCGGCTCCATCCGCCCTGAGCTCTCTGATTAAAGAAGAGAAGCTCCTACAGCAGTGTATGGTCGCCATTCCGGATAAACTGAGAGAACTGGCCGACAGGGAGCGGCAGAACCTGGGGCCGACCGACCTGACCAAGAGAGAAGACGAGATGCCCAACAAAGTCCTGGACAGCTTAGAGAAGCTCGACAGTCTAAAGAGGAAAGAGCAAGATAACATACAGCTGAAGGAATCGGAGAGCTTGTTAAAGATCAAGGCTGAAGCAGCCAGTGAATACGATTTTCCAGGAGTTAGTTTCCCTACTGAGAAGCCAACAGCTAAAACGGCTGCTTCTTCAGGAAAGGGTAAGTTTGACTTCTTTGCCAGAGGAAGAGGTCCTCGCAGCCAGGGCCGGAGTAACTCTGGTGGGCCGGATGGTCGGGACAAGTCCAAGCTGGATCAGCACCCCGGCGTACAGAACGGCTTTCAGCACGGCGCGGAGGCGTTATCATCGTTCATCGGAGCACATCCTGCTCGCCACGGAGCGATTCTCAATAGACAGGCGGATCCAAGAGGGATTCCAAGTGCGAACGTAAATTCCATGGACGGGAAAGACTCCTCCAGCGTTGGGTCACCCACTGCGCCCCCAAACGTCAACGTGTTCCAACTCCCCCAGCAGCAGCACCTCATGGCGCAGCAAACCTCGGTCATTCAGAGCACCACGGCGCACACGGACAGAGACGTTACCGGGTTTGTGGAAAAATCCAAGACAGGAAACGACAAAGAGAAATCAAAGAGATCGCCCGGTAGTGCGGGGTCATCCAAGAGTGAGAGAACCGCCGGCAAGACTAAAGCGGCTCGGCCTATCGCTCCCGCTCCAGCAGTCCCCCACCTGATAGCAATCCCCTCATTCTCCTCTTCAAACGTAGCCGCTTCAGGGATACAAGCCATCTCCACAACCCCCAAAACACCCTCCACGTCAGCTCTGAAACCTATCCAGCCCAAACCAACAATCATGGGAGAACCGCCACCCCAAACCATATCTGTTCCCAACTTCAAGGAGAAGAAGCACAAGCAGAAAAAACGAAGTAAGGATAAGAATAAAGATAAGGAAAAAGACAGACTGTCAAAAGAGTCGAAGAGCAAAGAAGACACGAAGGGATCAAAAGCAAATGATACTCCCTGTAATCTATCCACAGAGCACTCTGAAGAAAAATCGTCTGGTAAGAATAACCATAACATAGCTCCCCAGAAAGTGGACAAATTTGGTCTTCCCCTTTCGAACTCTCCCAACGGCCACACCACTTTAACTGACGTGATAAGTTCCGTTTTGTTACGTGATGCTCAAGGAAGCAGCATCCCCTCCACCGTAAGGACGTTTGACAATAACAAGTTCTCTTATTCATCTACATCTACACCCAATCAGACGCCGCTAGTACAACAACTTGAATCATCGCGATCAGAGAGCGGTAGTCCTGCCTACTCGGACATATCTGATGAAGGAAACGATCCGAACAAATCCGGTGGAAGGTCTAAAACCTCTCGGCGAGTAGAAGATAGGGAGCCTGCTTCTACCAATCAAAACTCCGTCAAGACTGACGATGATGCTGAAATATCTTCAGGTTTTCAGTCTCACTACGCTTCTATTAGAGCATCTCACACTGCGACCAGTGCCACTGCGTCCTTACACAATCCACTAAAACGAGAGGCAGAAGGATGTGCTGATACCGACATGCATTCAAGAACACAAGAGCCGGATCATAAGAAATCACGGCCGAGTTCGGCCTCCTCCCGAGAGTCGACAACATCCCCAGATAAGCAGGAGAAGCTCCGACAGTCTCCTCAGCAGCAGCAACGACAATCACAGCATCCGGGCTATGCACAGTATCCTCACTATCAGTATCTCGCATACCACGGGTACCGCATTGACCCGGCCTACCACAATTACTTAACGGCCGCCGATCCACAGTACAGGCAACAGTATGAAAAACTCATGGAAGAACAACAGTCAAGATTCAGGGCTGACCAAGACCGGAAGGTCAAAGATTCAGGAAAAGAGAACTCCGAGGGGTCGAAGAGCAGTTCTGACTTCCGTGGTGAAGAAAAGGGTGATGGGAAGGAGTCTGACCAAATGGACGCCTCCAACCCACCTCAACTAGAGCCTATTAAAGACGCCAGAGCCAAGGAGGACTCGAAAGATGGAGAATCTTCCCCGGCCAGCAGTTCCGCTTCTTACCCCTCCCAGCCGCCCCCGCTGAAACGGGCTGACGACACGGACAGTCTGAAAGCCAAGCAGAGTGAGAATCACCAGATCATGAGGGAGAGTATTGCGCTAAAGGCACAGCTAGAGTCAGGCCCACGTAGGACGTCATCCTCATCATCATCCTCATCATCCTCATCCTCACAAGGTAACCATGTCACACGTCACGTTCAATGAAGTGTCATTTTTGGAACACACTTTTAGAACCGTTTGCAGGTCTTATGATTTGCCATTTTGCGTGTTTGAAGTGTGTCTACTTGTTTTTCTACCCTTTTGTCTGTACAGCAGCGATGGGCTTCGATCCCAGAATCCTGTACGCGCAGCAGCAGGAGGAGATGCGGCAGTACTACCTGTACCAGCAGCGGGTCGCGGAACAGCACAAAATGGAGGACGAGCGCCGGCGGCAGATCAAAGCTGAACACTCCCAGAACAGACTCGATCCGCAGCCCCGGCAGAACCACAGTCCGCGGACCGACCAGAAACAGCGGCACTCTGACGGCGGAGGCAGCCGGAAGGAGTCGGAGAAACCACCCGCTAAACTCAAGGAGCCCAGCTCGGGGCAAAGTAGTAGATCGTCAACGCCAAGCAAGAAAAGTCCAGGTTTATTGTCGAAGGAAGATGTAAAGGAAACTGAGCAATCTGCAAAGCATCTAGAACGTCGTCTGAAGGAAGGTCGGGATTCAAATGACAGGAAAAGCCAGGAAGGTAGAAGAGACAGTGGGTCCTCTGCACGCCAGGTTCCCTACCCTTACATGTCGCAGTATTCCTACATGCACCCGTATGCTGCTATGCACCTGGACCCGGCCTACAGAGGAATGTACCCCATAGGCTATGCAGGTGCTCCGTATGTCCATCCACAGTTCCGGTACCAAGGAGACCCGGCAGGTTCACCACAACAAGTCCTCGGCTCGTCATACAAAGGTCAGTCTGGTAACGCGCACGACCGGCCTCCCACCATGTCACCCGCCCCGGGGAAAGGCACGGACTCGCCAGACAAGCAGTCCCCGCCCAAGAAGACGCACACCATCTCACACTACCCCCAGCAGCCCTCTCCCAGGAAGGAGAAGAACGAAGAGCCTTCCGCCAAGCAGAAGTCGCCTCCGTCACCGGCTCCGAAGGAGACGTCCTCGGAGAAGCCCCCGGCAGAGTCCGGCGAGAAAGCCGACCGTAAGGGGACCACTCCACAGCATCACGTGCACACCCACCACCACACACACATAGGGGTGGGCTTCCCTGTTGTCGGACAGTATGACCCTTATAATGGTGAGTACAGACGTCTAATGTATGGGCTGATCTGTCCCTCCATTTAGACGCACACATTATAATTGTAAAGTTGAAAAGTCCACATTTTCCCATTTTGTGTTTGTGGGACGGCAAAATTCACGAGACATATTCAGTACATTCAGTACATACATTAGCACGACTGTTTGTCAAACCGGTGGTTGTGCACCTCTCATTGAACAGCGTAGACACTGTACTAGACAGCATAAGTAGAATCATCAGTAATGGTGTCACCAAAGTCTTTGGTGTAACAGTGGCGATTATTCAATAAACTAGTCTATATTCATTGCCTACCTACCCTCTACAAATCATAGCCAAAGTAATCGCTTGGTAGCCCTACAGTGGATGTACCACACGTTGTGATGATCTATTGAACCATCAGGCATTCAGATTGGTCATCACGTTCAGGAAATGTATTTGGCAGCTTCTCCAGTTTGCAAGCCGCACTATCAGCCATGAAAAACCGTCACGCTTCGCCTCAACAGAGCACCAGCCGCTTTACAATTTTTACTTCATCTTTACGACTGAATCACAAGCAGTGTGCCGCTCTACCACTGAATGGCGATATCGCGGGGATAGTTAGGTATGGGTAATCTTTCATCTTTAATGTCTCCACACTCACACGGGGGGTTTACGTACCACACAGATATCTATCAAACTTTATGACTTATAGATCTATATAACCTGTGTCTTCGTCTTTCAGCAGCAGTACTTTCTGGTCAGCAATCACCAGGCGTGGTCCATTCTCCCATGGCATCCTTTACACCACGTCGGTATGTCTACTGTACTCCATCATATCGCTATGGGTGATCCGTTTTAGGGCGACGGTCTGGTCTGATGATATCAAATATCATGCGTCAATGCGTACGTCAAATTGTACAATGATGTTACCCATTCTTCTTGTTGCCTCCTACGACCAGATCCACTTTTCTTTTATGTAGCACAAAAATTATGCAGTCGCTTTGCTCCTGATGGGGAGACATTCCCCCTTGCAAAGCTGCGCCCAATAGTATACGTGTAATGTTATTACCGCATCTCATCCTCCGCGACCACCGAAAACTGAACCTTCCTTGATTAGATTACATGTTAGTGTGAGGTGACCCCGCCTGAGTAAAGGCTGATCCCATTACTAAATGATAGAGGAAATTATCGATTTTTCCATTTTCTGCATCCTCTGCCTCCCTGCAGTCATACGGAGTTGACCTTCTTGTCATTTTTACCTCCTTACAGAGAGTAGAGCGTGCCGAGAGTTCAGCCTCGCGCTGGTACCTCCACAGCCGTGAGAAGACATCGGAATGCAGATCACATTGTAAGCACCGTTTGATCACGTCGACTCCAGTCGCTGTATGCATGACCTGCCCGCACTCCGTGGAAGATGTCCTTATTTCTCGCCGCACTGCTCAGAAGTGTGGAGAGAATTCGCAAAACGTCTCGCTGGTCGCGGAGGGAGTCAAGTAGCCAGTAGAAGACGATCAAGAATCAAGAAGCAGCGGTAGAAAAAGTGAACTCCGCACTGCAAACGTCTATGTTAAGTCTATGTGGAGTAACCTTGACTGTCTCGCCAAGGACACGGCCGTCTCCAGTACATATTCAGGCGAACAGTTACCGCCGATGTTGTCTCCCTAAATGTCACAGATTATACAGCTTTATCCACCTCTGCTCTAGTGACACTTTTCTGTCTCTCTGCAGTAAATATTCATTTATTGTGTCGGCATAATTAGACAGTTGAGTGGAGTTGTAAAATCCTACGGGAATAAGGTCCATGGAGTGCCATCAGTGACGTTTTATGACGACTCAGTTTTATTATCATGCAGCGTTTTGGTTTCAATCTAAAAAGCCTACAACGATGTAAATGAGAAGGTTGCTGTTTGATTAACTAGAGAATTACGATGGCTGCCTACTCGTAGTGATGTATCTGAATACCCAGAACTGTGTACGAAACAAGCCGGAAAAAAGTAGCACAAGAGAAAACAGCATAGACTACCCATCAGAACTGCCCTGTACATAATCAAGCTCTAATGTGCATGTTTGTATTGTGGTGTCTGAATGGGTATTGACTGACTGCTGTGCAGTTAGAGTTCGTCATGTTTATGTATGTATGTATGTATGTATGTATGTATGTATGTATGTATGTATGTATGTATGTATGTAAATATTCGCAAATGTTATCGACTACCGCTCAGAACGCAGTGACTGTAGAAGTGATGGCTAAATGTTGCGCTACTATAAGGCAAACCTGCCCAAACCCCTGCACGAGACCTCCCGTTAAATATGTCCGTGACGTTCGTTGGCAGCAAAATTAGAAAATATTGTCTTCTTACAGGAGCAATGTATCATAGGATTTGAAGTGGTTGCGTTGGAGTGTTGCATGGAGGTTCGATATAATAAATTAGTTTTATGTAACAAAAGGCTTTGTTGATGCTGTGTTTTGTGCGATTTGTTGACAGATCTGGATAAGTACCAATGCTTACTTTGAATAACAGAATGCAGCGGGATAGCAATGAGCTTGTGACTAAGGTACGGGTTCATGTAGGAAATGCACACCGGTAATTATGAAGGATAGAGTGGAGATTCTGCATTACTGAGAATTGCATTAGCATCGTCGTAATGTTGAGACTCCTGCAGACTGGCGACTGGCGAAATCATTCATTCTGTGAGTAATTCGTGCCAATCTTCCCCCGGGGAGCGAGAAATAAAACCCGTAAAGCCTTGTAATGATTCTGTTAAACCACACATTCTCACGACCATAACGTGCATAATTACGCCATGCACACCTCGTGCATACAAACCAGCCAGACTGACGGGTCTTCTAGGTTTGGTTCCATCGTTTAAACCTTATTCTTCATCCAGTTTTAATCTGAAATACAGAGATACGAAAAATATATAAATCGTTCCTTGAAGGTTAACTTTTATCGTATCGAATGATTAGTTGGATGGATATAGGGACAAAAACGGTGGTGTTATAACTATACAAGAAGCTGTTATTTCACCAATAATGCATCAATGCTTATATACATCGCCCGGCATTGGTTCCGATTTACCGATACACTAATACACCACACACAAGAGACAGGCTCTATCATGAACAATCCTACAAACAATAGCTTCTGCGTCGAATATCATGAAGATTATGCATTTGTACTTAGATCTGTGATATTTCAATCCCCCACTTTGTGAAATTGCTTCCATTTCCTTAAACATGGCAATTATGGTATGTACGACCGTTCTCGGTTTATGTGTTTCACTCAGATGAGACGCCGTGTGAAATTGAGATTAATTGACCTTTTCAATGAGTATTCCAAAGGAAAAGTGTTTAAAATCATAAACTAAACTGCGCAGGGTGTCCTGGAGGATTTGGGTACCAATCAATTACCCACGCAACAGACAAGAGGCGCCATTGTAATACATACATAATGCACAGCTCCAACTTTGTAACCTTCCAGCACAATTAATTATTTGTACTCCGCAGTGCGCACAGCATACGGCGGCTAATAGGGCATGCCCGTATGGTTTTTAAACAATACAATAGAATGTGGTAAATGATTGATAAGCAAAGTACAGCTCGTAAGCACATGGCTGTAAATACCGGAGCTATGAATGCGGGGAAGCCATAGGACCAGGGCTGCAATAAATGCAAATCATTGATATGCGATGTTTTCATCATCATTCCAAGCAATTACCCATTATAAATCATAGGATAAAAAGTGAATCATATGTGTCGTCACACATGATTCATTTAACTCCAATTGTTGATGGTAATAAAAGCGCATAGGTATGAACCAATTAAGACTTAATTGTAGTGCTCTAAGGGAAAGAGAAGTCGACACAAGTACAATCGACATGATTAAAGCTGAACAAATTTGAATTACCAGTCAATTCACTCATGTAGTTCTGATCTGACTGTGTTTTCTGATAGAGATGGCGTTTGCAGCAGGCAACATCATTTTAAGCAAAAAATCACTTTTCGATTTACAAAATAAAAACGGCATGCTTTTCTGAAACTTTACGATTTTACTGTATATAAAGTGTGACTAGAATCAACACAGTGCAAAATCTTAACTCTGGTTCAACTCCGATTATTAAGAATTGTTCGAAATACACCTTTCAATTTATTGCAACTGATATTGAATTCTACTCTTGATGATGCCGCCAGCCTTTTCCCACCTCATATCGATTCCTGAGGTTGAGGAACTTCTGGCGTGTAGAAGAAGAGAACTGGTGAGAATTTGGTGCTGAAAATGCTGAGTCGTGAGTTCGTGTGGGTAATACCTTTTGTGGACTGTTGCTACAATGACGCCCAGATATTTCTGAGCACGCCTTTCTGTACATAAACCCGAGGATGTGCCGTTCCTTGTGTGCAATGGCCCCTTATTCAGCGGCAAGGTTCAATAACACGCTACATTTCTCCTCTTCCATTTGTTAAGGGGAGACAGGCCGTCGGCGATCGCCTACTTTATTTCTCCCGCTCGTAAAACTGTGCAGAACGAAACGGCGATGAACCGACTTACGGTTTGGAATGCAGATATCGGGCAGCCCAAAATATACGCAGGTCCCTCCAGACAATCCTTCATTTACTACAACAAGACCACACTTGTTTTGCTTGATATTTTTGTCCACCACGAGAGGGTTGCTTTTAGCGTCCAATTCTTGGAATTCCCAAAGGTAAATGTTTTTATCGGATAATTACCTGTATGAAATGGCAGCCCTTCAGACTTTCCGTATTTAGCCGTATTTAGTTGTCAACCTGATTCGCTTGAAGGACCGTCTTTGTGATTGCAGTTCGATATGTTAATTTTAGCTTCATAAAGCGATCAGTAGGTTTTGCATTGTCGGTTGCCGATCTGGCTGCGAACATTGCAGATAGATCTTCATAATCTATTATTGATTATCACGTACAGTTAACGTTGTTGCAGAGAATCCGACTATTGCGTAGGCAGTGGTGGATAAAAGACTATCACTAGTATCAGGCCTTTGGCATTTTGAATAGCTTGAAAGAGCGCGGTGTTCGAGCAGCTCTGCTGGGCTGACTGTTCGCCCTCCGCTGGCAGAACTCCCGCCGAGTTATTCACGACCAAACTCCCACAGATGTCAGGGGGATAAATAATACATGTTTTAATAGAGATAAAAGGATGATGGAAAATCGATTGCCTCCACGACATGGTGCGTAATCACTATTGTCGGAGAAATCTTACACGCCGAGCGGGCGCTGTACTCAGCCACTTGCGCGGGCCGCGAGCTGCTGAAAATGGGGGCCATGTTCACTTTACCACGCAAAAATTACGTACCAATCATACGGAATAGTGTACCTCTGAAACATTACATTTTTATGAAGCACAATCCTGCATTAGTCTTGGAAGACTGCGGGGCATGGAGAGATCTAGAGAGATGCTGTCAGGCTTGACGAAGCCTTGGAGAAAAATGCGCATCGCACAGATTCGTCTTGGCACGTAACTCCCTAAAGCACGCTGTATGCTCCATAAAGTATGAAGCTTATGAATTAAAACGTAACGAGTCCATCACGTGCATGGCCATAAACGTAATACAAAGGGCATGTCGATTTTAATGCTATCTCTCCTGTCCTGATCAATAGTTGGCCGTGGTTCCTTTGGCAAGACGTCCCGGCCGGTGCCGTCTATCTTCCTTCGCGGAACTTCCCATTCCGTATCGCCGGCCGGCTGCCCCGCTCGTGTGTTTGATAAGCGGTGTGGGGGAGCCGCGATGGCCTGCGGTGATTCTCCTGAAAGGCTGCATTTGATGGGCTGACGGGTAATCGAATTGTGAATTTCGTTGGCGGCTGCCGAGGGCCGGACCGGAAAGCTGATCTGAATACAGAAGCGTTTCTTTTCACAGACATTGCGTATAAAGATAATTACACTTGCGTTTATAAACTAATGCTGCACTAGAACGTAAACTAGAGCAAAAGGAATGAAAACTCATTCATGTATATCCTGTTTTATTGTTAGAATGGGCTGAAAACTATTTCATCGATAAAATCAGCCATAATTTTTAGCTTTATCTGTATACTTCTATTCTATAATCTAATCTATCAAATGATAAAATTATTGCTATTCTACATTTAACGACTTCATTTTGTGCGGTGTCTAGGATCACTAAAACGTGACAGAAAAATGTCATGACATGAATATCAAACGAGTATCAAACGAAAACAGCGGAGAGTTTCCTTCTGACGATGATATGTTGAACGCCAGAATCTTTATGACAGGACGTCCGTTCAAATGCAGGGTGGCTTAGGAAAAGCTTTCCATGGCACGTTTGCTGCCGCCAAGCGGGCGAGCTATGCGCGTAGAATGATTCAAGGGTAAGTAGGTATCGTTCTCCGCGGGTATCGCATTTCTCAGCGCTGTCCTCAGGATGATTGCCATTACTACAGAATTGCTGCTCAGTGCATTTTCCTCACGAAAGTAGCGGATTTCATTATACTCCACTGTAGGCTTCTTGGAGTTTGCCAATAGCTACCGCCTACCCCGCAAGTCCAATGACCAAAGTTCTGGAAATAACCGTCTGTTCTTTCAAAGACCACCACCTAAAGCTGTGAAGATCGATATAGGGTTGTTCTGTTCCCAAATAACCGACCGGCGGTCAATGAATTGTAACCTCCTTGTCCGAGATTATAAGATATGGCAGAAATCCAGTCATGATATCTAATACACCTTTTCAGGTCACAGATATGGATAGACGATTCTATTACATTTCCTCCCTCCCTCGAGTGATCGAGACAGTCAAGTGACATGTGGGAGAGGTAATATTTGAAACGCTGGAAAATTTTCTCCTGGTAGTTTCTGCATGTTAGATTCTGAATCTGTCGGACGTCGATTCTGCCCAAGTCTACGTGCTCCGAATGCGATTGTCATCTGCTCAAGTTGAACAAATTGATTTTATTAGCGATAAAATGTGGAGCGATGTTCTCCTTTCTGGATATCTATATCTTTTGTTCTGGTTGATTCAGAAGTTTGCGCGGCTACGAATGATTGTGGTTGACTTAGAAAACGGCGCAAGGAGATGGCTAATGTGAGGGTTTGGGAAAACCAATTTCAGTGAATCACAAACGTCGAGGTTTTATCGAGAAGACCTCTTGCCCCTATAGACAAAACCAGCAGAAAGTTGGCGCCGAAGCTTATGGGTTCTCTCGTTCCCATCATTCGTCACTGTCTGCCATGTTCATAGCCACAATCAGGCGGCCATGTTACCCAATCGATTGGTGGCGATTCGCGGCGGTATCCAAGATCTACGCCAAATTCTTAACCATCCAACTCTATTGAAACCTCACACAGAAAGTAACGTTTTAACGAAGCTTTTGGATACGTTACAACCGAACCATAATCACATTAGTAAGAGGAAACATTGAATATTCTATATGCGAAAAAGCGTTTTCCTCTAA